GCCAACTGGTCAGCAGGGCTCCTGGGAGAGGGTGCAGGTACTGCTGAACCGCTGGCGGCGGGTGCCTCGCTGGTTTCCGCCTTGACCTCCCGTAACCGCAGTTGATCGAGATGACGGCGGACGTAGCCTCCGGGAGTAGATACCACAGTCATGCGAGCGCCGTGGTTGCTCTCCACCACCCCGGGCAACCATTTTTCACCTTGCCCGAAGTTCCGGTACCACACGGCAGCATGAGGGCGAATGGTTGGGACCTGTAAGTCAGGCGAGCACACACGTCTTGACGGCACAGCAGTGTCGACGCGCGAGCGTACTTGGAAACCGAGTAAGCGCTCGGCCGGTGATTTCCCGTCCGACAGTGGAGTGCGACGGTAAGACAGCAACACTTTCGCCAACTTCTCTTCCAAATCCCCGGTTGACAACTTGGCTAGGGACTCTTTTACCGTTCTGACCGCCCGCTCTGCCAATCCATTAGATTGTGGGTGATACGGGGCGGTTTTTAAATGCTCCACGTGATTTCGTTCCAGGAACTCGCCAAACTGCTGACTAGTAAACTGAGTCCCGTTGTCTGACACAATCGCACGTGGTAAGCCGAATCGGCTGAACATCTCTCTGAGCTCCCTTATGGTGGCTTCAGTGGTGGCCGAGCGCATTACGCATACTTCGATCCACTTAGTGTGTGAATCCACTACCACCAGCAGCATTTTGTTTTCAATTGGCCCAGCGAAATCAATGTGCAAGCGCGCCCAATTTTCTCCCGTTTCTGGCCAGTTAACAGGCGTGCTTGCTGGAGGCATAGGAGCAGCCTGTGTGCAGTTGTGACAAAGACGAGCCAGTCGTTCTACCTCACCGTTCAATCCGGGCCACCAAAACAACGTCCGGGCTACCCTTTTCATGGCCGTCGCCCCCTGGTGAGCCTCGTGGAGTAGATTGAGCATCTCTTTCTGGGCTGCCCCTGGAATGACGACTCGCTGTCCCCAGTAGAGCAGGTCCTGGACGACAGTCAACTCCTGCCTTCTGCAAAAGTAAGGATGCAGCTCATGCTGTTCTTTGGTTAGAATTTTCGGCCAGCCACGCATTACGAAGCTTTTTACTGTAGTCAGTGTTCTGTCCTCGGCACTGAGCTCTTTTAGCTGCCGTGCCGGCAGGAACGCTTCATCCATGCACTGTATCGCGAACACGTACTCTGGCAGCTCCTCCTCTCGGCTCTCCTCGGTCTGTGGAAGGGGCAATCGGCTGAGGGCGTCCGCGTTCGCGTTGCGTTTCCCGGGGCGAAATTCGATTTTGTACTGGAAGTCGCTGAGTAGAAGGGCCCACCTACTCCCCTGACGATGTATCTGCATCTGGACGTTGCTTTCCAGGGCCGCACGGTTCCTGCAAACCTGGTGGTGTTGGATTGCCTTGGACCCAGCCTTTGTGGCCGGGATGTAATCAACAAGTTGAACTTGCTTGGCGCAGAAGTGGCCTCTGTTTCCGCTCACCGAGACCACCAGGATTTGGAATCCCTGCTGAAGGACTTCCAGGACCTGTTCGAGCCCGGTCAAGGAGCCATCGAGGGGCCCCCCGTACATCTCTACCTGAAGGAAGGAGCTCGCCCGAAATTCATGAAGGCAAGACCCGTTCCTTACGCTCTGAGAGATAAGGTCTCTGAGGAGTTAGACCGTCTTGTTCAAACGGGAGTTTTGTCTCCAATAACGCATTCAGAATGGGCGGCGCCGATCGTTCCTGTGCGGAAAAGTGATGGATCCGTTAGAATTTGCGGAGATTTTAAGTTGACTGTGAATGCTGCCTGTGCTACTGAACAGTACCCTCTGCCCAGCATAGCAGACATTTTTGCGTCGATGCGTGGTGGGGCAGTGTACAGTACGTTAGATCTGCGAGACGCGTATAACCAGGTACCGTTAGACAAAGATTCCAAAAAACTGGCGGTGATTAATACACATCGCGGGCTCTTCCAGTACAACCGGTTGCCGTTCGGGGTTGCATCGGCTCCGGCCATTTTTCAGAGAAAAATGGAAACCATGCTGGCCGGCCTGCCAGGAGTGCAGGTGTACTTGGATGACGTGTTGGTGGCTGAGCAGCCGGGAACTGAAAATCTAAGGGCAGTGCTGCAACGATTTCAAGACATGGGTGTGCGGCTGCGGCAGTCGAAGTGTACGTTTAGGAAAAGTGAAATTTGCTACTTGGGCCACAGAGTGGACCAGGAAGGGCTTCACCCCATCGAGAAGAATCTGGACGCCATCCGACAGGCCCCAAGCCCTACGAACGTCAGCGAGCTCCGGGCCTTTATTGGATTGTTGACGTATTATCATCGGTTTTTGCCAAATATGTCTACCCTGCTGGCACCGCTTTACGAGCTCTTAGAAAAAAATAAAGTATGGCAATGGGGACCGAGACAACGAGACTCCGTGGAAAAGGCCAAGACAGTATTGCTAAAATCTCCCGTGTTGACCTTTTTTGATCCAAGTAAACCACTCCGTCTGGAATGCGATGCCTCGCCAACAGGAGTAGGAGCTGTACTGTCGCACCGATTGGGGTCTGTCGACCGACCGATCGCCTTCCGTTCCCGAAGCCTGACATCAGCAGAAAAAAATTATTCCCAAATAGAGAAAGAGGCACTCGCCTTGGTGTTCGCCGTGACCAAGTTCAGGGATTACTTGCTAGGTCGACAGTTCGTTCTCGTCACCGACCACCAACCCCTGGTGGGTCTGCTGAGAGAGGACCGGCCGATACCTCTGCTGGCATCGGGAAGAATTCAAAGGTGGGCCCTTCTACTCAGCGACTTCCAGTACAAAATCGAATTTCGCCCCGGGAAACGCAACGCGAACGCGGACGCCCTCAGCCGATTGCCCCTTCCACAGACCGAGGAGAGCCGAGAGGAGGAGCTGCCAGAGTACGTGTTCGCGATACAGTGCATGGATGAAGCGTTCCTGCCGGCACGGCAGCTAAAAGAGCTCAGTGCCGAGGACAGAACGCTGACTACAGTAAAAAGCTTCGTAATGCGTGGCTGGCCGAAAATTCTAACCAAAGAACAGCATGAGCTGCATCCTTACTTTTGCAGAAGGCAGGAGTTGACTGTCGTCCAGGACCTGCTCTACTGGGGACAGCGAGTCGTCATTCCAGGGGCAGCCCAGAAAGAGATGCTCAATCTACTCCACGAGGCTCACCAGGGGGCGACGGCCATGAAAAGGGTAGCCCGGACGTTGTTTTGGTGGCCCGGATTGGACGGTGAGGTAGAACGACTGGCTCGTCTTTGTCACAACTGCACACAGGCTGCTCCTATGCCTCCAGCAAGCACGCCTGTTAACTGGCCAGAAACGGGAGAAAATTGGGCGCGCTTGCACATTGATTTCGCTGGGCCAATTGAAAACAAAATGCTGCTGGTGGTAGTGGATTCACACACTAAGTGGATCGAAGTATGCGTAATGCGCTCGGCCACCACTGAAGCCACCATAAGGGAGCTCAGAGAGATGTTCAGCCGATTCGGCTTACCACGTGCGATTGTGTCAGACAACGGGACTCAGTTTACTAGTCAGCAGTTTGGCGAGTTCCTGGAACGAAATCACGTGGAGCATTTAAAAACCGCCCCGTATCACCCACAATCTAATGGATTGGCAGAGCGGGCGGTCAGAACGGTAAAAGAGTCCCTAGCCAAGTTGTCAACCGGGGATTTGGAAGAGAAGTTGGCGAAAGTGTTGCTGTCTTACCGTCGCACTCCACTGTCGGACGGGAAATCACCGGCCGAGCGCTTACTCGGTTTCCAAGTACGCTCGCGCGTCGACACTGCTGTGCCGTCAAGACGTGTGTGCTCGCCTGACTTACAGGTCCCAACCATTCGCCCTCATGCTGCCGTGTGGTACCGGAACTTCGGGCAAGGTGAAAAATGGTTGCCCGGGGTGGTGGAGAGCAACCACGGCGCTCGCATGACTGTGGTATCTACTCCCGGAGGCAACGTCCGCCGTCATCTCGATCAACTGCGGTTACGGGAGGTCAAGGCGGAAACCAGCGAGGCACCCGCCGCCAGCGGTTCAGCAGTACCTGCACCCTCTCCCAGGAGCCCTGCTGACCAGTTGGCCCGAGCCGCAGCCGCCAGCGGTTCAGCGGTACCTGTACCCTCTCCCACGAGCCCTGCTGACCAGTTGGCCCGAGCCGCGGTACCTGCAGCCTCGGCCAAGAGCCCTGCGAACGAGTTGTACGGCGACGCCACGACCTCAAGCGAGCCCGAAGACAGCTGTGTGCCGTTCCAGCTGCGACGGTCCACTCGGACTCGGAAACCCATTGATCGCCTTCAATTATAAGAGAAGGAGAATTGTTATCACTTCGGCCGAGTCACCGAAGCATGACTTACTGTTATCCGCCTTTTGTTTGTTTTATTAACTGCGTTGCCATTGGTCCGTGGAGCGCTATATATAGTTCCACGCGGGCCCGAAATAAACCGTTCATACCCTGGTAGCCGGCCTGTCTGTTTGGTCCTCGCGGTTCTGTCATACTGCGAGATGTCCAAGTGACAACACTTGGGAAACTTATATATTTCATGTTTTTATAAAAAAGAGTGTATGGTGACAACAAAGAAATTTCGTTGTCATATGGGAGCATTAATTGCAGTGGTTGATTGTTTTGGTGGCACATATGATGGACCATATATGAATAAGACGTTCACTAGTTCAATTTACCAAATGCTTACCATTCATTAGACAGTCAACAGCTTAATTTGCATTAATTTCTTTAGCAACCCTCTCATCTTCTGGCCGTGCAGTCCCCAGTTTAGTAAGGTTTCGAGGTGACTACTTTGGCTAGATCAACCTTCAAAGCATACTTTTCTCCTTAGATCAGGCTACACATAATGTGTATGTTTCTTGTAGGAGCAAACCGCAACAGAGGTCACCGCTGCCGAGGAGGGACCACAGGTAACTGCGTCGCATAGGCCAAGCAAACCTCAGCTGAAAGAAACCCTTACAGGAACCCGCCCAGCCACTGGCCGTGCATTCATTCTGCAGGCTCCAATGGAGCAAGGCTTCGAGGTGAGTACTTTAGCTAGATCAACCCTCAGTGCATACTTCTCTTTGTAGACCAGGCTACACTATAATATGTACGTTGGCTGTAGGTTGAGCCTAAGCTAAACATTTTCACAATACAAGTGACTTGCCCAGGGACAACAGGCTAATACTTACAAAGGGACATGACGAAGTAATGTACGACTTGTTCACAATCTAGATTGGAGGTTATTATTTTCCTGTCTAGCCTTGCATGCCGTTGCATACAGATATTTTCCTTGAGGAAATAAATTACTTAGAATTAAAATTATTTATTTCAAAAGATAAATGTATACCACACTTTTTGGCATTAGAAATTGAAACATTTATGTAGAAAGCAAATTTATGTACCGAGTAGACCTGAACACAATAATATAAGTATGTTGTTATTATTTAGATATCATGCATAGAAAATAATTTACAATAATCTTTTACTGTTTTTTTTTCACTTTCTAGATACCAGGGACAAGACGTGTCTCCGTGCCTCAACCCTCAACAAGGCACGAGATCCCAGTGGTAAGAAACTTGGGATGCTCAAAAATGTTTCAGAGGTGACCCAGCATTATAAAACAAATTACACCAAAATTTACTCAACAAAATTAACATTTTAACCAAAAATGAAATCTGTCTCTGATCTCTTCATTTCTTGTCATATCAACTTCAGATAGAAAGCTGAAATTTTTCACTGTTCAAGTTGTGAAACTAATATTTAGTATATCAACATGTTCCTTGACAAATATTAAAAATAAATATATAATTATTAACTTGGACAGCACGATACATATAGAGCCACGAGGAGTGCCTGCCTTGTCCCACTTGGCTTTGAGCAATACTGCCACCTGTATGTACCAATAAGTGTCAGTGCACCCAAAGACTAGAAACTAAATGATTGGCATAAGTGTTACAATTTTCTTATACATAGGAGAAGCTCACCGATGCTTCATTCGCCAGTGTTGGTTCTCATTCTGTCTGTTTTTTTTTTTTTGTATTTCTGTCACAAAATTAACTAATGTTTTAAACTTTAGCACTAGGGAAATAAGCTAAGAGAAATATTTGGCCCCGTTCAGTAGGCTTCTCAGCAAGTATTGTGCATTGCGGAGAAGCGACACGCATGGAGCGGACACCGCGATCGCGCGAATCGCGACGAGCCTTCACTGAGGCTTCACCACAGTGCAGTCTCCTGCTTTATGACGAAGCATACCTCCAGATTCAGAAAGAAGAAAAAATGGTGGGAACGTGGTGTGGTGAATGTTGATTATGCCTGATAGATGTTGGTTACCTGTTTTCCTACAAAATGAATTAGGCTACAATATCCTGACAATTAAGCTGTATGTGTGCACCAATATTGGACTCCTCTTTTAGTTTGCAACAAGGGGCTCTCCTTTGATTTCTAAGGTTGTGAATGGCTTGGGGTCACAGTGATTGTGATATCTGGAGTATGCTATGTTGCGATCGATGTCACATGTCTCAAGGACAGTTGTGGGTTTCTTTATAAACCCGGAAGGGGAAGTTGCAGCGTTTTGAGAATATTGTTTGTGTCGTCCCTTTTTGTCCCTTGATCTCGGGTTTCGCGATGTTGGAAGAAATTATATTTTGGTATAGCGAGAGGCCTATCAAATCTCACATGTACCTTCAACATTTATAGGACTATATAGAATGCCAGAGTCATGAAATAATTTAGATTAAACTTAGCTGAGCCTTGGTGGTGGAGAGACATATACTTCACAATAACCATAATCAAATAAACTCTGCATTTTCATTTAGAAATATATTTCTGTACCTACGTACATTAAATTAGAAAACAATTGTTTGTTGCCTCGGTTAAAATGTGCAGTTTAAGCACATTCATAAAAAGAATTGAGCAAAAAATTCAAACTATTAAAAAAATATTAACTCTCTTCTAAGCTCCTCATTTCAGTGGATTACTATTTGCACCTTAGTATTATAATACCTTTGATATATCATACCTAAAATTACTATACACACAAGTTCACGCTCTCCTCTCTGAAATATTAAAGTTCTGAAAAATTGGTACCAAATCATAGGTGTCCAAAGCTAAGAAGAGTGGTTGTTTGGGCTACTTTGTTGGTCATTTCATAAACCTTGTGCACTTCATAAAGCTCATAAAGCTTATAGTTTGCATAAAGGCTATGCACAAAAATCAATTGCCATGCAACTTAAAATACTGATTTTATTCTGAGTGCAACTGTAGCCCTTACTTCGCTGATTGACATGATATATGCAACATGTAGGTGAAAGTTGAAACTAAACACATTGACTGTTTCAAATGTTTCTTACTGTAGGTCACGCCTGCACAAACCAAGAAAGAAGCATTCCTAGAAGCCCGCATGCGGCACTTCACCGAGCAGCACATCAAACATTCTAAGGCGATCAAACGGCTACAACAATCCAAGTGTCGGCTAACCAAGAGGAATACTGAACTGAAGACTGTGGTGAGTGACCTGGTAAAGCAAAATATTTTGCTAAAAGAAGACGGTGCTGTCTTGCAGAGCTTTGGTGCTGCAAATCAGCAGCTGTTACAACGACAGCTTGTCAAGCACACAGGAGCACCTGTACCAACGCAGTACTCACCAGAACTACGAGCCTTTGCCTTGACCCTGCATTTTTACTCTCTACATGCGTACACCTACGTGCGCAAGGTTTTTGATACATGCCTACCCCATCCCAGGACTCTAACTAAGTGGTACCAGTCCACTGATGGCGAGCCTGGCTTCTCTGAAGAGGCCTTGAGGGCACTAAAGCTGAAGAGCAAAGCCAACAAAACCTCAGGCATTGCCACCATCTGCAGCCTCATGGTGTACGAAATGTCGATACGGTGACACTTGGAGTGGGATGGCCAAAAGTATGCGGGCTACATGGACGTGGGAAGCGGAGTTGACGATGACAGTTTGCCGCTAGCAAAAAATGCATCTGTCATCATGGCAGTGGCCATCAATGGCAGATGGAAGATTCCTCTTGGATACTTCCTCGGTGATGGCCTTGGAGGAGAACAGCGCGCCAGCCTTGTTGTCCAGGGCCTCACCCATGCCCATGAAACTGGAGCTCTTGTTGTGTCGCTAACATGTGATGGAGAACCCGCAAACTTCTCCACGCTTCGGGAGCTTGGATGTGACTTCAGTAATATGGCCAACCTGAGGACAACATTTCCACACCCGGTCACACAAGAACCTGTGGCAACATTCATGGACCCATGCCACATGCTTAAACTTGTCCGGAATGCACTTTGTGATAAGAAGGCTTTCATCGGCCCTGACGGTGAGGCCGTTGCATGGCATTTTATTGAGCAGCTCCATGTCCTGCAACAACACGAAGGGCTACACCTTGCAAACAAGCTCCGTTTGTTCCACGTTGACTGGAAACGACAACCAATGAAGGTGAGTCTGGCAGCTCAGGTCCTGAGCATGTCAGTCGCTGACGCCCTAAATGAGTGCCGCAGCCTCAGTGTCGCGGGATTCCTGGAGTCCCAGCCAACAGAGACATTTTTGCAGATCTTCAACAACCTCTTCGATGTCCTGAACTCTAGAAATGTGCACCAGAAGAACTGGAAAAAGCCTCTCTGTCCCCAAAACATCAGGCAAGTGGAGGACCTCTTCAGGCAGGCAGATGCCTACTTGTCATCCTTACGAGACTCTCATGGTGGGCCAACCCTGCTTCACACTAACCGCAAGACAGGATTTCTTGGCCTCAGGATATGCATGAAGAGCCTGTTGACTCTGTACAACTTTCTGGACATTGAGAAGCAGCTGCTGAAATATCTGCCAGCACACAAAGTAAGCCAGGACAATCTAGAGCTGTTTTTTGGCACAGTGAGGTCTTTTGGACGGCAGAATGGCAACCCCACTGCTCGACAGTTCAGTGCAGCGTTCAAGAGGCTCATCATTCAAAATGAAATCAAGGATGTAGAAACTGGAAACTGCCTACCATTGGATGAGGTTGGCATACTCAATGCAAGCAGTGGCACAGTCCCAGTCGCAGACATTCTCAACCACACAATTCCTCGTTGGAAGCTGATGCCACCTCAAGATGAGGCAAGTGAAGATGCCAGTAACGACTACTGCCTCAACCCTGGCTACATCACAGAATGCTGCGGCCGGATTGTGACCTACATAGCAGGTTTTCTTGTACGCAGCCTGCGCAGATCATTACTGTGTGAGATAAGCCTCAGCTCGTTGACAACAGAGCCCAATGCCAATTCAACTTACTCACGGGTACGCCGGAAGACCAGAGGAGGACTGCTTTATCCGTCGGAGGGTGTGATAAAGATTGCACGAAAATGTGAGCAGCAAGTCCGCACCGTCATCAACAGAGGAAAACTGTCGGGACAGAATGTTGCCCACAAAATGGTTGCCAATGTGCTTGAAGTTTTCATTGACAAAGGCCTGTTTGTCTCAATTCGTGACCACATATGCGATACTGGCCCGCTCGAGAATCATTACGTCCTTCTTGTGAGAAGTGTTGCAGAACGCTACATCAACCTGCGACTGCATCATGCTGGAAAACAAATGGCACAGGACACCCACCTGGAAAGGGTGCGCCAGATGTATAGGAAACTTACACAATTTAAGGGCCAGTAGTTTCTACTGGTCCATGACAAAGACTGGCCAGATGGAGCAATACCTTAATAACAAGAATGAAAGCACTAGACCATTGCCACTGTGCCATCAAATATAAAAAGGCCTAAATTCTCACTCCCGGTTTATGATGTTAAAGATTTAGTGTTCTCGAACTGCTAAGGATCCTTAAGTGCATCCGCACTGGACCTGACATGAAGGCCAATGTTTCTACGCTGCCACCACATTATTTATAAAAAGCACCCTCGATGCAATCATTTTTTTCTGAAGTGGATGGATATAACTGTTCTGTTTTTGTTTATTCTGTCCGTAACAAGTTGTGAAGGAATTCTGTGCATATTCCTGTTGTGCACCTGACATGACCGCCAATGTTTCTGACCTGCCACCACATTATTTATGACAAGTACCCTGGATGCAATCATTTTATTCCTGGTGAAGTGGATGGATACAACTGTTATGGAACTGTTAAGGATACTTGTGTGAATCGTGTTGTGTGTGTGTATTTCTGTTGTGTACCTAATACGACAAGCACTTCGGATGCAATGGTTTTTTACAAAGATAAAAGATTTAACATTCATTACATTAGAAGGTACTTTTTTCCGTAAACATGAATTTAGAGGTCAAGTTATTATTTTGAAAATTAACTTCAGGGAAGACGGCACTCAGAATTTTGCAAAGTATTTTTCTATATTCTACTTATACAAGGTAATACAAGGTCTACTTATACAAGAAGACGTCCATGGCGGTTGTGTTTCTAAATTTGTGAGTGCCGAGATACTGGTTTTTTGGTGTGTGTCGAAAAACCAACGAGTGTGTCACTGCCAACCAGGGATGGAAACGCAAAATAACAAATCTCCGAGCGTCGGATGTGAAAACCCCTCCGGAATCAACGGCGTCTCGAGAGTGCAACGGCCCTCGACGCATTCGGCACCAACCCCAGCAGCCATCCCCGACGATAACAACAGTGCCAACCCAACAGGCGATGACCATCAACCAACTGAACCACCAACCGACCCGAACGGCGATGATGATGAGGAATCCTTCGACAGAGAAGTGGCATTTGCGGCGATCGTGAGGCGAGCCGACAGGGAAACGACAACACCAGAAGGATGGTTGGCCCTGGTGATCGAGCGCAGTAAAGGACCACATGGACGGATGCCCAATGGTAGGTGGCCAAAAATAACAATCGAGTATAATCGGAAGTATAACCAGAATGTAACGTCGACAACGATGAAAAACAGGTATACCCGGTATAAAAATCGACAACTGCCTACTCAATCGGGCAATGGTTAGGTGACCGAAGAAAGAGACCGGCCGCTGCCAGCGACCATAACAAATAGCCAACTGTACACCAATGTGAAGAATCTGCTGGCCAATAACATCGAGCTGGCCCTTAATCACCAAACTGACCGAAGAAGAACAAGAAAGGTATACAGTCAGGAAGTCAACTATCAGGTCATGGAGATGCTCAATCTGGTGATCGAGCGAGAGGAGCTGGAAAAGAAGGCAAATACTCTAGCAGAGCTGAATGACTTGATCTTTGCTTGCCAGCTGACATATGAGGAGGTTACAAAGAACCCAAAGAAAGAGGTGAACTGGAAGGAGTCTATAAAAAAAAAGATAGGGAAGTTTAGTCAACCGCTGCAAATTGTCATCAGTCACAAACAGAACGAGGCTCCGTCGAGAGCACTAAAGCGAATCTGCAAAGCCAATCAGTAACACTCGAACAACGAGGACCAGTTGAAGAAGCTTGAGGACCAGATTGAAGAGAAAAGGGCGGTCTTGGGGGGGGGGGGGGGGGGGGGGATGGGAGAAAAAACTGATGATTGCGTCTAACCGGACCGAGTATTGGAGAGCGAATAAGCTGTTCGAGTTCAATCGGTCCACCTTCTACCGGAGACATGACAAAGACCAGAAAGATATTGACGAGAACATTGATGTTGATGAGGTGATTACTTTCTGGAGAGGAATCTGGGCGACCGATGACGAAGAAGGGGAGTTCCAGGAAATGATTGACCTACTGGACCCAGTGGAGCTTCAGACCGAAACTGAGGATTAGAAAGTCAAGAAGGATCGTTAAAACCTAACAAAACCTAGGTTTTAACGATTCATTTTTGGTAAGAAATTCTGACGATATTTTAGATTTTTTAAAAGATAACTCCAACAAAGGATTTTCAGCCTGTTCATTGGACATTAAAGATTTATACTACTCTTTGCCGCACGACAAGTTACTAACATCCGTGGAACAGTGTATCGATGGCTTTGATACAGTGGCCTTCCAGAATCAAATCGGCATGACGGAAGAGAGTTTCATTGAAATGCTCTCGTTTTATCTTAAATCGACGTTTGTGGAATGGAATGACGGGGTCTATATACAAAAACAAGGGGTATGCATTGGCGCATGTTTGGCACCCATCCTCAGCACCATATTTTTAGCCCATCAGGGCAAAGTTCTTTTTGAGCAATTGAATGAAGGCAACGATATTAATGAAATCAAAGTTTTTAGATTTGTGGATGATTTGTTTTATTCTGTTCAACCGTGGGCCTGCAGAATTCTAGTCGAGAGTGGATGACGGCTTTACTGTTTTTAAAAACGTCTTACACCCCCTACTACTAACCCAGGAACTACCGGTAGATGGTGTGTTGCAGTTCCTTGATATCAGACTAAACTTTTCTGAAAGACATGTGTGTTGGATGTACCACCCTAGAGCCCAGAAACCCCTATTGCCGTACAATTCAGTTCATTCGAAACTGGTAAAAAGGAGTATTGCCAATATGTGCGTATTGAATGCCCTCAAAAAATCATGCCACCATGTGATGTCAGAAGTCCTGGGCACGCAGTATAGGCGGCTGTTGTCAGCTGGCTTCCCGAAAAATGTAGTGGAGTCAGTTGCAGAGATCTCATTAAAACGATTGCGTAGAGAAGATTGCCCTCGCCCAACGGTTCTCAGAGATAAACAAAAGGTCGCGGTGATACCGTACATTCACAAAACGGCGCATGGCTTGAAAAAGGTGGCCAATAGATCAAACGTGAAAGCAGTGTTTTCCGCACCAAGCAAACTTAGTATTGTTGTTGTTGTTGTTGAAAACATCTTTATTGCACAAAGGCAGGAGAGGGGGAAGGGGGTTAGGGGTAAAAAGAGATAGAGAAGAAGTAGGAGTTAGCTGTGTGACCCTATTCCAGGACTCCACTTGCTTGCGCCGCCTTGGCCCGCCGGATTAGCAGCTGTTGCTTAACCGGGTCCTCG